AATGCAGATCTGAACTAAACTAACTCTCAATGCCACTAAATCTAAGGTAGTCATCTTTGGTAACTTGGACTCTGATAGTGTCGGTATATTTTTGGGTGGAGAGAGGCTGGTAGTGTACCCTGAGTCAAAAAATCTGGGTGTGCTTGTCGACAGCAGTCTGCGATTCAGCAGTCATGTCACTGCTTGCGTGAAAAAGGTATATGGTCTTCTTAGATGCCTCTATCAACACCGACACATTTTAAATATAATTACAAAGAAACGTTTGTGCGAAACACTTCTTCTGTCAAATTTTGTGCATTGTGCTGCCATGTATGGTCCATGTTTAACTGGGTATGAACTTCATCGTATTCAAAGGGTTCAAAATAGCTGTCTTCGTTTTATGTATGGCGTTTGTAAGCGTGAAAATATTAGTCACACATTGGTTACTGCAAAATGGTTAAATATCAGAAACAAATTCAAACATCAGTTCTTGTGTCTTGTGCACAAGTTAATTACTACGGGGACTCCACCTTACTTATATAATAAAATCACCTATAGGACCGATGTTCATAACTTGAATCTTAGACACAAAAATACTATCGCCGTTCCTGCTCATAGGAAAGCTCTTTTTAGGCGCTCTTTTTCATATAATGTGGCCAAGGAGTATAATTCCTGTCCTCCTGAATTTAAAAATAAAAGTCTATCCGTTTTTAAAGTTAACTTGCGTAACACCTTGTTTCGGCTTCAGATCGGTCAACATAATCCTTATGCTGCCTCAGTGCTCTGACATTGGGTTGTTATCTATTTATTGGTTATATAGGGAATCATTTGAATTGATTAATTTAATTGCGGAAAACAAATGAATATGTAATTATTAGTCGTTCTCAACTCTAGGTTGAGTTGAACAGATAGCTTCCATCGCGAAGATTGGCATCCTTCCATGGATGCCAATCTGGACTCCGCCTATTGGCCGCAGACTGTAATTAGTTTCACATATAGAATGAATTCTTCATTTTTTTTTTTCTTTATATTATTGTTTAACTTTTTTATGTTGGTTGTTGCAGTCAATAAAGTACTATTATTATTATTATTATTATTGTGCAATTCTTATTGTTAGATAGATAATTATCTTTATTTTCTTTTATATATTATTATTATTCTTATATTTTTTTAATATTACCTTTATTTTTATTTTATTTTTGTTTATCGATATTAATAAGTTAAAATATTTTGAAAAAAATGTATTTTTTATTTGCCTTCCAACTTCCGTACATAAATAGTTATTTGTATTATAAGTAAAGAAAGTATACTTTTTTCTTTACGAATCGCGAATGAAACGCGATGAGTAAAGAAGAAGTTACTTTCCTTTAAGAATAATACATGAAGTTTTTTCGGACACTCAATTTAAATGAATTACCTACAGCAACCAAACAAAAAAAATAAAGTAGTGATTCATCAGGAGGTGTTATCAAAATCGTCACTAACATGTGGTGATTTACAGTTACAACAGTGTACATCAAGTATAAGCTTCTCTAACATTAATAATTGTACGTTTAATATTTATTCTAATAAATAATTAATTGTTTATTTGGTTGCTATAAAGAAATGGTTGCTATAAAGCAGTGTTTTTCAACCTGTGGGTCGCGACCCCCTGGGGGTTCGCGATGTCTCTGTAGGGGGGTCGCGAGAACTTAGTAAAAAAATCAATAAATTTCAAAAAGGTAGAGATATATTAAAAAAAGTTAACAAAATGATACTTGTTATGTTGTTTATACAAACACATAAACAACAAAAATACAACAAAAAATAAAATCTTTGAGTACTCGTTCATTTTAATGTGAAGGTAGCGCTTGAGTTTGTTCAATCAATTTCTCCCATCGCGGATCCGTTTTTGCAACTTTAAGTATTAAATCGTTTTCCAAATTTAAGCGATTTCTTAGTTTACTTTTTATTTGGGCCATTGATGAAAATGCCAACTCGCACAAGTACGAGGTAGAAAATGGAATCAAACACTTCAAAGCCTCGGTTGTTAATTCCGGGTATTCTGATTTTCTTTTTAACCAAAAGGTATCTAAAATTTCAGGCTTGAATTCCAAGTGTAACATCCCATCGGCAGATAATCCCAGCAGATTCTCTTTGAGCTTAGTTGCTAAATTTGCCTCATTTATAGCTGCATTTAAAAACGGATTTAAGATCCATCTTTGCCCAGTGTTAATCGATATCCCTTGTACTGAGAAGTAATGACACAACACTTTCTTCAAATTATCTAACACCATTTTCATACCAGATATATATGAGTTAATGTTTATCTCCCTTCCGACTTCTTCAATGAAAGACTGTGTCGACGAAAATGAATCAAAGTTGTTTTGATTTTATAATTTTTTTTATAAAGCCATGGAATTTGTCTTTTGCTCTAATGACATTTTTATCCCGCCCTTGTAGACTTTTATTCAAGTTATTTAAATGCTCAAATAAGTCGGAAAGAAAAACCAATTTCAAAAGGAATGGTCAGTACTTTGCCTTTTGATAACCACCTAATCTCTGTATGGTAAAGCAAATTGCGGTGTAGTGCCCCCATATCTTCACAAATGATTCGCGAAACAATCAAGTCTGCAACGCTTTTCCTTTGATAGAATTTACAATGTTAATAATAATATTTAGAACTTCACTGTATTCTTGTGGCAAGGTTTTGGTTGCAAGAGCTTGGCGATGGAGAAAGCAATGCATCCAACAAGCGTTTGGCATTTGTTCTTTCAGTCTAGCAATAAATCCACTCTTCGCACCAGTCATGGCTTTTGCTCCGTCACTACAAATAGCAATGCATTTTTGTGCCCAATCGATATTCATATCTTGCGTAGCTTCAACGAACATGTCTTGCAAGAACTGACCTGTAGCATTTTTGGAAAGTGCCTTGCAAAATAGTATTTCTTCCATTAATATTTCATTGGATTCAAAACGCACAAAAGCTACAAACTTCATTCATCAAATTGCAAGGACACAAAAGAACTTTTCTTTATTTTTTCTATGACTTGATCAGGAACGTCAGTCGCCATATTGCTTATCCTGCGTTGAATGGTATTGTCAGAGAGAGGTATACTTTTGAGCTTTTCGACCTCTTGTTTGCCAAACATAATCTCTGCTATATCTAAAGCCGCTGGTAAACTCAAATTTTCGGCAATACTGTGAGGTTTTCCTGCTTTAGCCACACGAAAAGCTACTCGATAACTAGCGAGCAACGCTTTCTCATTTAAGTTGGACATTTGTCCTATAGCAGTTTTTTGATGTTCAAGAGCTTTTAGTTTTCGCTCAAAAAATTCCACGGGTTTATTTTTTCATTAGGATGTTTTGTGTTTAGGTGGCGTACCAACTTCGATGGTTTCATGCTTTCTCTTGACAAAATTTCAAAGCAAATTACGCACTGCGGTTTATTCTCAATCACAGTAAACCTAAATTTCAAATAATTGTCGTCATAAAGACGTTTTTTCTTTATTCCACTACTCCCGCTAGATGTTAATGGTCTTTTTACGAATTTATCCATTTTCAATTATAACAAACAACTCATATTAATACTACTTGCACTCAACTGCCGTGGCCGCGGTCGACCTGATTTATAGGGTTATAGGCCAGCGTATTCTAGTGAGAATCATTGCGAAGCGTAACGAAACGTCTCGACACTTGTGAACCTTTCGCGGGGGGGAATATCAGCACCATCAGATGGCGCTGGGAGTTTCGGCCCTAACAAATATAAACAATTGTATTTGTTTGTTATTTGTTAGTTATCAATTGGCCACGTATTCGATTTAAAATTAAATTTTTTACGTACTTAATTATATATTTATACCCGAATCCTAATAACGTAAACGCCTAAAATTTTTGTATGGATTAAATATTTTTAACATACATGAAAAAAAGGGTCGGGGGGTCGCGAAATATTTTTTGATACTAGGGGGTCGTGTCATGAAAAAGGTTGAAAAACACTGCTATAAAGAAATGAGGTACTTTTCTTTACGATTTGTAATAAGGAAATATAGGCCATTTCCAGCGAGTGTCCGAAAAAAACTTTTTTTAAATTTCTATACCGTCGGTTTTTGCAAAAATCAAAACCAGCGATCGCGATAATATAAAGAAAGAGATAAAAAAGGTGGGGAGTAGTGGGGATAAATGTTAGGGATTTTTAGGGGGAAAGGTTCTGTCAATGTAGGGATTTTTTGAAATTGTATCTGGCAACGCTGGCTACAACCAGTACAACCAGTAACCCCCGAGCCTTAAAGAAAAACACGTCGCGCCTAACAGAGAAAGCACATACCGTAAAACCCCGCTCATTAATTTATTTTCTTTACAATATCGTTTGTAACCGTTCTTTATGTGTTGTAAACTTTTATCTTCAAATAAATCTATAATAACATAAGCTACAAAATTATATTTATAATTTTTAAGAGAATGTTTCAAGTGTATTTTATTTATTCGTCCATTAAAAACCTAAAAGGTATTGATACGATCCCTACTCCCAACTTTAAGATCTCCTCGCTATTTGCGTCCCATTTCGTTTTAGTGTATGATCGCTTATTTGCGAAATTACTTAGGTTAACGATGACTTGAGCTGAGAAGGCGCTCATTAGTTTAAAAATTACTAAATTCTGGAGTACTAATGATGGATACTAATGCCGCTATTATAGTGAAATCATGTTTTAGATTTTCCTCGTCTATTATTTTAGTTAAAATAATCTTTAAGGAAAAGTGTATTTCCTGTTACCGCAACCATATTTTAACATATAAAAACTTCTTTATAATAGACAGTTTTTTTAAATTTGTGCCAACATAAAATCACTAAACAGGATATTTTGTGGATCAGATCAATCATTATTCCGTCTCCTGTAAATACGTTTAGCTCCAATTTGAAATATAATTTATTTGATATTATCCATAAACATAATTAGAATAACTTTTTGTGATGAATTAATAAAATAAATAAGTTCTTAAATAAATTATGTTCATTAAATATACTAAACAAATTTTCTTACCAAATGGAATAGCTGGTTCATGTGGTAACGCTGTTTGAGCTTGTTCCGAAAGATCAAAAGGATTAAATCTTGGCGATGAATCCATGGCAACCATAGGAATCGTCGGAGGTGCAATTGTTGGTAAAACCGAATCAACGAAGACATCGTCGTTCTTTGGTCTAAAAAGACACGAATTATTATGATAAAAATAATTTCCAAATTTCTTACCTTATTACAACTGAAAAATCTTTTTCTTCTTCAGAATCTAAAGATCCACTTTGAGTAAATTTATTGGGCGTACTTTGCGGAGCCGGTGGTTCTTTCATCGCTAAGAAAGCATCGAAAGATTCGTCCGGCCCAAACCCTGAACTAGAATCGTTGAAACCATCTGATATTTGGGAATCGCCCCAAGTACCACCACCAACACCACCACCGGCACTTTCACCAAAAGCATCAAAACCACCGTTTTTATTTTCATCTTGAGTAACTGCCGATTCAAATTTAGCCGTGAAGGCATCAAACGCATCTTGCTTTTCAAATATCTCCTGATGACTTTGCATCTGTACTTCTTGGTTATTAATTTCCGGTTGATTAAAATGATTTTGATACATATCTTGATCTTGAAATGAATCAGGTTGATTCGGTTCAATTGAAAATACGTTTTGAATTGGTTCAATAACTTGAGACTGTACAACAAATTCGGATTCTTTTATTTCTTCTTTGATTTCTTCCACTTCTTCTTCCTCCATTTGAACGTCTTCTTGACACGTTTCATCTCCTGGCGTTTTTGAAACGGGGATATCTTGAACTGCAAACGGATTGAATGTCACGCTTGAAGCTGAACCTTTACTTTGACTGTCACTGGTATCCATTTGGGTATCGGAATGAGAAGGATCCGGCGATAAGAAGTTATCTTGAACTAATGGTTGGGGTGTTTTGTCGTTTTGAATGTTTTCCATGCTACTTTTTGGAGTTATTTCTTCAAGGTTATCACAAAGAAAATCTTGTTTTTCAACTGGTTTGTTGTATAAACTTAAAATATCTTGAGTTGTTACAGGTTTTGTTGGGATGTTATCCCCAAACATTAAAATATCATCGTTGACTGACTCCTGTGGGGCTTGGAACGGAGCATTTTGAGGGATAGGTTGCTGAATAGGTTGTTGAATTGGTTGTTGAATTGATTGTTGCATTGATTGTTGAATTGATTGTTGAATTGGTTGTTGAATAGGTTGTGGTGGTGTTGTTTTTTGAGGAAAAATCGCTGGTGGTGGTGGTTTTTGAGGTGGTAAAGCTGGTCTTGGCGGTCTTGCAGGTGGACAAGGTCTTTGTGGTGGTGTTGGTCTCAATGGGACCACCTTTGGTGGAGTCGTTTCTTTTATAGGAGCAATTTCTGTGGGTTGAACCATATCGTTTGGAATCATTGGTTGAACCATATCTTTTGGAATCATTGGTTGAACCATATCTTTTGGAATCATTGGTTGAACCATATCCTTTGGAATCATTGGTTGAGTCATATCATTTGAAATCATTGGTTGAACCACATTCTGATTAACATCGTCATTTTCATCAAGCATCAACAAATCATTTAAATCTTGTTTTTCATCGGAGACATCCACTAAGTCTGCAAAAGGTTCCGGAGTTGGGCTGGGAGAGTGTAAGTCTCGCATGGAAACCGGACTTGGAGTCCTCGTAGGTGGAATTTTATCCAATAAATGTGAACTAGTTGCGTCCATTTCACCCATAACTGACATTAAGAGGTCTTGAGTTTCTTTTGGAGGTTTCGTTGGTTGAGTGTTGGACTCAGTGTTGATATATTTTAAATCTAAATCTGTTGGTTTTTGAATTGCTGTGGTTGTTATTGTAATTGTTGTATCAGAAAGGAAGAGATCTTGAGTAAACACATTATTTGTTGTAGTAATCGGAAAATTTGCATTTTGAGTAATATTTGTTGTATCATTTTCCACTGGATCGAAGGCGAACGGATTTGTTGAGTTTGACGGAGCCATTGTAATTTGCGATGATAAAAATGGATTTTCGCTTCCAAATTCCTCAGAGTCGTCGTTAACTAGAAAAGGATTACTATTTGATGAGTTTGGTGATGTTTCCTCCTCAGTAAAAAGAAACGGATTGGCCCCTTTTATATCCATTTTGATTTTCACGTATTAAAAAGTTCTTTTTCTATTAATTTTAACTCAGTCTTCCCCGGAAGTATGTTACTCGCAATCGATGTATCAAAAGGATCGGAATATTCAAGATCAAAAGAAGACGACTCAGCGGATGGAGTTAGTACTTTCTCTTTAACTTCTTCGGTTTCTTTGATTTCCAATAAATCAACAACTTGTTTTGATTCGATTTTTTCTTGTACTTTACTAAAATTTGGATCAGATATTTGTCGAATAGTTTCAACAACTTTATGAACCTTTTCGTCGCGAGGATTAAAACTTTGATCTTGAACGGTATTTTCTTGAAAAAGTTCGTTTTCGATCAATTTTAATTCAACTTTTCCTATTCCAATATCCGAAACGAACGAAGTATCAAAAGGATCAACTTCTACTTCTTCAATTTCTGGAATTGAATTTTCCCTGACGTAATATGGGGTTAATGGTTTTACTGATTTACCATCATCTTCGTGGATTTCTAATGGTAAATCGAAAGAAACTTTTCTTGATTGAGACAAGATTTGATCAGGTTCTTCTTCAGCGCGCGGATTAAAATCATCATCATCTTCTTCTTGCTTTTTTATGTTAATATCTCCCAGTAATTCTCGTTCTAAAAATTTTAATTCAGTTTGACCTGGTTTTATGGTATCAACAACTGATGTATCAAAAGGATCTGAGTATTCAATATAATTTTCATCGATGGATTCACTCGGTTCAAGAGGAACGTCTCCTACTTGTGAAAGATCTGTGTTACTTCCGCCCAGTAAATCTCTATGGATCGGTTTTATCGGAAAAAGATCAGATTCTGAAACTCTATCCAATGAAGAAATCGATTCTCGTTGACCGGCAGGATTCGTCAAATGAATCTTAACTTTTTGTTGGATTTCTTGAAGGAGTTGGTTTGGTTTCGGGGTAAAATTTTCGCTTGGTGTATTTAAAATTTGATTTTCAATTATTTTTAACTCAGCTTTTCCGGGTAAAATATTCTCAGCAAATGTTGTATCAAAAGGATCTTCTTCGAACTGTTCTAATTCATCTTCTTGAATTTGATTACCTTCGAAAGTTTGAAACTCAACTTGAAACTCAACTTCGCTCTCTTCAATCTTAGAAATAAAATCTTGATTATTAATATTAACAACAGGTTTTGATAAACTTTCTGCTGCTAATTGAGCAAATTCGTCGTCATCATCATTATCAACTTCCTGCTTCAAAGTGTTTTCTTGTAATAAGTGTAAACTTTTACTCAAATCAATCGGTTCGTTAATTGGCGGTGCATCTTCGTCAAGTAAAGTTGTTAAGATGTCTGGTTTATGTTCGTTTGTTGTATTTTTTTCAACAGATTTTGGAAATTTGTCTTCGTCAAAGCTTCCCAACAGCAAATCTTTTTCTTTAAATATCTCTCTTCTTGAAACTTCCGGTCTTTTAACGCATGTCGGTGCTTGTACTCGGCCGGTTAAAATTTCAACAGCAGCTCCAATTGGTACTAATTTTGTTCCTTTTCGTACCGTTTCTGGTCCTAAGATTGCCCTTTCCGCTATACGAGTGTCGAAAGGATCGTCACCTTCAGGTTCTTCAGTTGGAGATTCTGATAAAAAAATAAAAACATTTTCAGGCAGAATTTGAGACAAATAATACATGGAAAAATTGCGGTAAACATTTCAATATTATATTTATTTTCAACCTTACAATATATCATGCGTAATACATGGCAAGGTCTCCAGCTATCATGGACATAGCCTCTCCTACTCAATGACAGAGCAATCTTACCGAAGAGCTCAGTAACCAACTCAGGTGGGAAGGAGAGTAAAGTTCTAACGAGGAAGGGAGAACCCTCCGATAAGAAAGTTAGGCTCAGGGCTAGTACCCCAGATCGGAAAAGACTTAGCTACTGCGGAACCATCAACAAAGCCTCGGACAAGACGGAACTATCGAAGACGACTCTAGCAGCGTAATATTAACAACACAATTGAAACATGGAATGTACGAACCCAGAACAAATCCGGAGCCCAACAAGCGCTGCCAAGTCAAATTCACAAATCCCGGTCCACTCTCAATAATAGCGATACACGAAACAGCACAAGATCAATATCAACGACATGAACATCAAGATAAGTAACAAGAAAGAATATCGGGCGAGAATTGGCAAACATAGTCTCCATAAGATCTCAAACGAAAATGGCGTATTATTAACAGACTTTGGTCAATGGTAAGCAAATGGTAATAAGAAATATATACAAGACAACATGGATATCATCAGACTCAGTCACCAAGAACTAAATAGACCACATGCTTATAGATAAATTAAGAACCTCAAGTATTCTAGATGTTAAGGTCAGCAAGGGTGCTAGTTGTGGCTCACATGTTGCTACATGTCAAGTTTAAGGCCAAGATAAACCCGCAGATAATACACAAGGGGCAGAAACTCCAAGAGAAACTTGAATTAGAAAAGCAACCACGAATCAACAAAACGAAAATTAGGGAAAAAATGAACAAGCGGATTGGAGAAAATGACAGCTACAAAGACTTTAGAAACAGAACGAAAACAGAAGAGACCTTACCCGTTTGCTGAGGAATGTGGAAATGTTAAAGAATTGAGAAATCGAAACCATCCTGATTATATTGCGAAACAAACAAGGGAAAGGAGAAAGATCTTCGAAGATAGCCGCGGAGGAGCGGACAAAATATGTAGAAAAAGGAAGAGAGATTATGAAAGTAACTTAATCCTCGAAATGGAAGAGGATTTTGAAGCGCACGCTACCAGGAAGGCGTATATATATCTGATGCAACTGAGACTTGGGTACAACCAAACACTACGCTGTTCAGAAACGAAGCGCGACAAATAAAAGACGATCTGAAGAAATTAAGAGCACTTGAACACGAAACAAGACTTATAATTGGAACAGGGACACCTTATTGAAAGGCAACAGCGGGAAAACGACTTGGCTGTGGACTATCCACGAAGCTACTCTCGCTAATCGTAAAAATATGGGAGCAAGAAGTGATCCCAGACAAATATGTTCAATACATAGAAATAGCGACAAATACAAATACTCTAACCATCGCGAAATATCGATACTGTGTGCGGGATACAAGGCAGTTTTCAGGCAAGGCAGATCAACCACTGACCAGATCTTAACGGTGGGACAAATACTAAGAAAAGCTGGAGAACACAACATAGATCATGTATTAGAGGTTTGGGGATTCCTGCTAAACTCATTACAACAACAAAAGCGACATAGACCGCTTCGGTCTTGACATCAACGTGAATAAAACAAAAATGATAATACAAAAGATGCAAATTACACAACCCCACTCACGGGGGCCTCCATACTTTCTATTTGGGCGTGGGGCTAGCTACTGATGGAGCCAAAGACGGAGAAATACAGAAAAGACTTATGACTATCATATTTCTCGCAGACACATATTTTCAAAGCTAAAAGTATATACAGAAAAATCAAAACGAGAACCTACAGGCTAAATCTGTAGGTTCCACCTACAACTTCTTGAGTTAAGGTACAACCACGAAATACACCAGCAACTCAAGGAACCCCCTCTGTCCAACTATGCAAAAGTTCAAAAACTACAGTGGGCGAGACACGTTATCAGGATGGAGGAGGAAAGACACCCGAAATGAACGATTTACAGCCGAATGCAGGCAAAAAAACCAACCGGAAGACTAGGAAAAGATGAGAAGACGCTGTAGAGGGGATTGCAAAGACATGATTGGGGGTGCGACGTTAGAAGAGATCAGCTTTAGATAAGAAAGAATGGAGGGGCAAATGAAAGAAGCCAAGGTCCTAGACGCCAATCGCCATATAAAGTGGAGGAAACAACAGATGATAAGGAGATGAATAGATGGTAAGTCAAACCTCATTAGTAATGTTTATATCAATATATTAGGCATGGCTAGTAGACTTAAGGCATACTGAATAGTTATGTCTTAACCTTCAGATAACGGATGCTTATGACTACTTATGACTAATTTAGTTTCATTCTACTCGAATTTTCATGTCGTTAAATCTGTTAAGACTATTACTATTTTAGACTTAATCGCATACCATAAGCAGTGCATATATTTTAATAAAAATTACTTCTTTTAAGGATTGAGAATCAATAACGCGTTTTAATTATTTGATTGGTATGTCTAAAAATTTGTACGACTACGAATGAATTGAAACATTCTTGCATAGTGAAGTCAACGCATAATCCAGGTTCATCGTGAAAATAAGTATTTAGTTTACGTTGCAACTCAACGTAACGACGTTACGTTGTTGCTAGTGCTGCTGTTAATTTGAATGTGTTTTTATTGTGCAATTTTACTATATATTTCTGTTTTGATAGTTTTCTAAGTTTTATTTGAACAACGTAGTTTTATAATAGTGTAGTTTTGAATTTTAATTGTGTAGTGTCTTGATCTCTACAATATTTTCAAAGAAACAACTCTGAATAGCTTCCCTCCCTTGTGACTAATTACTGATGATATTGTCGAGATCCAGGAGACCGGATAGTGTACTTTCTTTACTAAATTTCTGACGTCGTGCCTGAAGACGAGATATTTTCTCGAAACATATGTAGCACCAATATCATTTAATAAATAATTTTTCATCGTACTTATTCGAAAGTTTATTATTATTAATAGTCTTGCATAGATTTTATATTTTTTGTTATGTCTTTTAGGTTGTTAAAGAATTTTGTAAACACTATTGGGCTTCAGCTTTTTGACGCATTGTTGCCTACCATATATGATTAGTGACGGTTTCATGTCGACAATTTCTTTCTAAACTGTTCCTCTCCTGAAAAGTTGACTGCCAGCGATCTCTGCATTTCTTTGGGAGTCTGGTTTTGTGCGGATTATCTGTAAGCACAATTCTCGGCAGTCACCCAATGCGCTGTCTTACCCATCTCACAAGAAATATCAGTTTTGTTTATGTCTTCGTGCATATCAATGCGGTAAGTCATTATTTAGTGGATGTAGGTATTATAAATGGGTTTCCAATATGGGCTGGTCGATATTCACAGTATGTGGCTGGTCAGTATATCCAAATGATAAATCTTTATTATCATAATGAATATTTATTACACTAAAACTAGAACTAACACTAGCGCTATCCTTCCAAGGAACACGAGAGGGATGTCCAACTGAGTAAAATTCAACAATCTGCAGTCACAGAGCATTGCCACAAAGGAGGGCACACCATAGAGTTTCACAAAACCAAAGTGCTACCAAGAAACGGGCATTACTTCCAAAAATTGACGAGAGAGGCGATAGAGATTAATCGACATGGGAATAACATGAATAGAGAAGACGGTTGGGAATTCAGCCGCATATGGAAGATGCTAGTGTACTCAATGAAACCTCTCCACCTGGATTTGATAAAAACAACTTAGTTGACAATCTTTTCATGTATTTATTGTCAAATTTTAAATGATTTTGTCACTTCGAACTTGTTTCTGAAGAAGGTTGCAACATGGCATCCGAAATGTCAAACACTTTTTCAAAAGACGCACGGCTTAACCAGAATGTTTCTAGGTCTAGTGATAGTGCTAGTTTTAGTTTAATTAACACCGGCCGTGAAAGCCTTTGTGCTTATAAAATGAATGTTTGTTAGCATAAACGTTGCCTTTATTTTACAGCATACGTGGTGGTTCTTCAAAGTCGATTCTCCAAAGAAAACATCGGTTCATGAAAGGAACGCAAGAACTTCGCCGTTGTACGTGGAAGTGTTCAAGAGTACCTGAGGTAGGCGATTCCTTACGGGCTTAATCACTTTGAATTTCGCAGACTTCAACATGGCGAATTTTACCATCGGTACTTAGGCCTGCACCCAAATAAGATGTAATTGATCCTAAAGCTCAAAGTTAATGACCATAGATAACGCCGTCTGTTCAGTGAGTGAGCTTCGGAGAGTGTTGAGGAGGACCTCAATTTTGGTAAAAAGTTGTCTTTATCGACTAAGTAGACGCATTTTTGTATAAAGTAATGTTAACAAACAAAATTGCCATATATGATATTATGTCAACCCACACGAGGTTCACTAGGTGACAATGCATTCATAAAAAATTACTGTTTGACGGCGCTACGTGCCACATAGCGGGCGCCACAATAAATATTCTGGCCTCTGAGTTCACCTTAGTTGAATCATGATTAACTCTTGTCCCTAATTATTATTTACCATTTATTGCCACATAAAAAATACAAAATTACATAAGATACACTTAACTTAAACAGTAAGCAGTATCAGCAAATGGATCATTTTATCGCACAGGCGATCTCTGCCAAATGACCCAACAGAACAAACAAAAATAAAAATAATATTTACTGAATATGGCAAGTAGTAATAATTAGATGTTATTAACATCATCAAATAAGATTAAGCAAGAAAAAGAAAAACAAAGAGAAAAATAAAGAAAAGACACGAAAAGGGAGATAGAGAGCGGCTAAAAGAAACCAAAAGAATCTGCCGGATATCAGTTGCCAACAAGTGAGAGTAGTTGAAGAGAGGAAAAAAGAGAAAGACAAAGAACAAAGAATCAGGAAACAGCCAGTTGAAGGGCAAGCAAGTGGCTCTTTAAAACATGTCTAAAATTAGTAATTCTAGAAATATTACGAATTTTAGAAGGCAGTCCATTCCACAGCGCAATCGACTGTGCTGTAAATGAACTATGATAAATTTCAGTGCTATGAACGGGAAATGTAAGAATAGTATCAGAACGTGAACGAGTAGCAAGCTCATGAGTTGATAATTGCTGGAACCTATCTGATAAGTACTTTGGGATGCAGTTATGAAGGATTTTAAATAAAATGGTTAATAAACGAAAGGATCTACGTCTCTCACAGGTTAACATCTGAATGTAATTGCGATACGGCGTTACATGCCCAAATCTATTTAGGTCAAATATGAAACGGATACAATTATTTTGTAGCCGCTGCAATTTACTCAGAAGAGTCATCGAGAGATCGGGATAAACCGCGTTCGTATAGTCGAAGTGAGGAAATAAAGATTACGACGCACCACAGGAGGAAGAGAGCAGCGAAGTCTTTTTAAAGAGTGGAAGCAAGCATAGACTTTTCTGCAAACATGTTGAATTTGCGGTTTCCGGGGCAGTGCAGAATCCATAAGGACTCCAAGATTTTTAACTGTGTTAGAAAACCGTATGACATTACCATCCAGCATCAGATCACTGCAGGTAGATGGATTAATCTTACCAAGTAATTGACGAGTTCCAAACACAATAGCTTGCGTTTTAACTGAGTTCAACTTAAGTCCGTATCTCCGAGACCAGTTCAAGACGTTAGATAGATCGTTATTAAGTCGCACAATAGCTGCCGAAAATTCAGCAACAGTTGTAGTAGTATATATCTGGAGGTCATACAAATGATAATTACACGAGATATAATTAGTAATACTATTAACGAACGAAGAAAAAAGTAACGGACCCAATCCTTAATTCATTCTGGTGAAACATGCTAGCGCCTTTCTGACCTCTGAGATTACTATAATTGAACCTTCTAATAATGATTTGGAAATGATTTGATTCACATAAATGAAATGTGAACAATAGGTAGTTGTAGCTTCCTAATAGCGGGACTATTAATCTTATTTGTAACTTACAGTAAGCGTTAGTTTGAGAAATGGCCTTTTGCCTTGTATTGCGGCGGGGCCATATTTGTGTTGTGTTGTAGAAAGTAGTATTGAAGGGAATTCGCAGGTATCTCAAGAGCGTGATACCAGTCAGGATGACCGTGTGAGTGATTCCCTGGATGATGCGGTACCGACCCTCCTAACTGGTGTGATAGAAACCGTAGGGTCGACGTTGAAAACTTCGTAAATCAGTGATTTACTAACATACGCTTGAATTTGTTTGCCAAACAGTACCTCGTAGAGAACCTAAAACTGCTTATGCTTTTCAAATCTGACTTGTTCGATGGAACTGTTGTTGTCTACCAGCTTGTTACATCTTGTTGGTTCCCTTTAGTGAACTGTGCAATTTTGTGTGCAGTTGCAACAATTTTGCAACGATGACTTTGTCAAAAACATAATTTCTTCTACAAGACTACATTTACATTGAGTGAACAAGTGAACAGACAAAAAGGCGGTATTGAGCTTTCCAAAATCCACAATTCCAGTATATTGAGCAAGAGATTTGCCCAATATACGCAAAAAATCAATGTGTGGATCAGAGTACCACACAGGAAGCTAAACCAGAGAGACAAGATGGCGCGCCACCGGAACACTATGTCGTTCCTATTCGAGTTTATTATTTCCTAATCGATGGATTGGAAGAAGAGAACCCTGTAAGATCACTATATTTGACTTCGTTGGATTTTTCCTTTGGGTTGAGTTGGGCTGAAGAGTAACACTTACAGCACTAGACCAAATACTTTCAAAATACAAAAAGAAGTTCAGCGAATAACTCCTAATATCTTAAAAAATTTTCAGAACGAATTTAAAAGCCATAAATAATTTCTTATTTTCCATAATCATCGTTATTGTGAAATCCAACTCTGCATGTTTGATTGTTATAAATATGCAAATTTTAAGAAATAATAATTAATTTATTATTTCTACTAATATAAGAAAGTTAAGGTACTTTCTTATATTTTAAAGATATATTTTTAACTATATAAAGTTTGATTTACCTGGAATATAAGCTAACTTTATTTCTCCAGATGCAACAGCATCAATGTAAGCCGTATCAAAGATGTCATCTTCATCATCGTCTTCGCTTTCTGATTCTGAAACTTGAACGATTGCCGCTTCAACAGCTGAAATTGCTGTTATTGATGCCGCTTCCGCTTCGATTTGTCGCTTGGCTTCTTCAACTTCTTGCTTCTCTTCAAGTTCTTTCTTTTTGAGTTCACTTTGTACCGGAACTCGTTGGAAGAAAGAAGTACTTTTTATACGATCGAGATCACCTATTATAAAAAAAATGTGTACGTTAATTGAAATTTAGAACTTATTTTATGTAGTTATAACTGACCTTGAGTTTTCTTTAAAATATCATCAATACCAGAAGTGAGTGCATTAAATTTTTTCCATTCTTCATTTTCGGTACTTTGCTGTGTATTATTTCCGGTTTCTTCTGATCCTTGGTGTTGCTGGTTGTGTTCACGCCTGTAGGCTTCTAATTCTTCCGGTTTAAAAAGTTCCTCCTCTTTGTGCTTTGATTTTTTTCCTTTTTTCTTCTTCTTAAGACCCTTGGTTATCTTGTGCATTCTCTACACTAAACTCTACCATCAAGGTCTTCGCGGACCCCAAAGGCATTATTGGCGATTGAACATCGACAACTGAAATAGAGTTGCACTGAAGAAGAAAAAATTATTTAGAACTACCACCGACGATGTCGAAATAGATCCGGAAAGATGTGTCAGGCGCCGGGACGCTCGGCGCCGATATTGATCGCGTTCTCCAACTCTTTTTATCGCTCTCTTCTCGTCCTTTTTGCGTTTCCTCTCGTTCTTAATTTGTTTTTTTATTGGCGATTTAATTGTTATCTCGCGTTATTTGAATTCACTAAAATGCGATTAAAATTTTCTAAGATTTTGATTTTTTTGTTTTTTTTTTGTATTTTCAAAAAATTGTTATGGACTGGAAAACAAAAAAAAATTGGGTTGGTTTTAACGGGTATGGTGTAATAGAAACAAATAGGAACTTACGTAAATGGAATCATTTTGGAAGCCGGAGCCGCTGTGTCATATTATCTTGACTGGAAATTACTTCTTATTGCCCCCGGATCTGTGGAACTGGTCGCGCAATATTCTTATCGATTGTGCGCAGAACGCCCTGGCAATAGTTACTGTGACCCAAATTTGATATCGCTTTTATTATTGTTTTTCATTTTCCTTTTTTATGCATGTTGAACATTTAAAAATTAATTTTGATTTATATGAAATATAATGAACTTGTTTTTTAAAACAATATTATTCTCATTGAATTGTTCTTCATCGTCATACAACTTTAGCTTTTTCTCAATGGGTGGCCTTTTTAAAAAAGCTTAGTTTAAAAAAGTATTTCCCTTTTCTACAAAATTATAGTTGTTGATGTTGATAATGACGAAACTTACGTTTCAAATTTTATAGTAGTATTTTAATAATAATAATAATAATAGTTACTACAATATAAGTAATACATTAAAATAACTAAGTATAGAGTTTACCAAGGGTATTTCCATCAGTAAGCCACATTATGGCGTCCTGGTCTTCCTGGAAATCCCATACACAAAAAAAAAGAAATATATAAAAAAAAACAAAATAAAGTAATAACAAATCAAAATTAAATTCAACCTGAAACAATTATCGTGGCCGATAAGTAAAAAACGAAAAAAATATAAAAAATGAAGAGCCTAAACAAATAAAAATTAATAAATGTCCGTATAATCCGGTATTCTATACAATACCTAGGCATTTTATAGAATACCTAAAACGTTTAGGTAATGTATGAAATATTATTAATTTTATACTTTGCCTAGGTATTCTATAAAATACCGAATGCGAAGCAGGCAATGTGTGTAAAAGGCTAGAACAGGGAAGGGGGAGACATGTGGCCATACAGTAAACAAACGCGCAGCGACTTGTTTTTGCTTGCATTTCATTATGCTGCGTGCGACAAGGGTGGAAGTGTGGCCGATAAACGAGTCTCTCAGATGAGAGAAAGATTTTATTCACAGTTGTGTATTAAAAGAAAATCAGCAACTACTAAAAACTGCACGTTTATTGACGATCAACGGTATAAACAATTGTTAGAAGAAATAAAAAATGCAAAAACAGCCAATAAGAAGTTATTTATTTATTGGTTATTGCAGCATTATGATTTTATAACTGTTGGTCAAAAACATAGGTTAATATTTCCTGTGAATACCCCAAATAACAATATTATATATTACGTTGCTGGTAGTGAATTATTCCAAGTACTTCACGAGGCACATCAAAGTATCGGCCATGGCGGTCGAGACCGTATGCTGAACGAGCTTTCTACACGATACAAGAATATAACTCGCCACTATGTTGAACTATATCTGCAACTTTGCGAACCGTGCCAGCAAAAACAAAAAGGAATAAAAAAAGGAATTGTCGTCAAACCCATACTTTCATCTGAATTTAATTCTCGCTGTCAAGTAGATTTCATTGACTATCAATCTCATCCAGATCGAGAATATAAATTTGTGATGGTCTATCAGGATCATCTCACGAAGTTTGTAATATTAAAAGCACTAAAAACAAAACGCGCAGAGGAAGTAGCTGAAGTACCAGCGATCCTACAATCAGACAAACTGGTGTGAAGTTATCCATAATTCCCAGCAATAAACTTAAAACATTAATAATTCCGTAACTAACACAATTTGGGTAACCAAATTTCACACAGAGGTCACTCTTACCCTCAAGAACAGCTTACCACCCCCATTTGGTAAAAAAAATTTGTTTCAACCCCCACCCCCGAAAAAGGGATGTTTTCGCCCTGATGGGCACCTTCGAATTAAACCAAATTCTACCACATAATAGAACACAGTTCTAAGTATTTTTATCAATTTTCAAAACACCGTAAGCCCTAACGGTTTTCGAGAAAAAAAATCATTCTTATAAACCGCGGATGGGACTTTAGGGGTGAATTTGACCCCGTTGGGCACCTCCAAAATTGATGAAATTTTAGGATGATTTAGAGGATGCCTTTGGCGATTTAAATCGACCATCCAAACACCGTAAGGTATAACGGTTTCCGAGAAAAAAAATTTGTTATTAGACACTATAGGTATACAGCGCGGCGCGGACTTTGGGGGTGAATTTGACCCCGTTGGGCACCTCCAAAATTGACGAAATTTTAGGATGATTTAGAGGATGCCTTTAGCGATTTAAATCGACCGTCAAGACACCGTAACCCTTAACGGCTTCAGAGAAAAAAATTTGTTATTAAATTGTACACGTATGTAGAGCAGATAGTAGGTGCCTTTAGCGATTTTAATAGATTATGAAAACTGCGAAACTCTTAATATTTCATGGAAAAAATAAATTTTGTTAAGAAAGGCATTTTGTAGTTTTATGGGCTTTTAGTCGTTACTGGCAAAGGGTAAGAACTCCGCCACGTGCAGTTACAAAAGGCGCAGGTATTAAGGAAAAAATATGTCCATATTTTTTGCATTATAAGTGCATTCCGGGAAAATAGTTGCCGACTTATTCGGCGTTGTTTTAGAGCGCCTTTGTTTTTTTTTAGATTTTGCCAGAAGGGTGAGGAGTAAACTTATAAATGTGCTTAAACTATTCTATTGGGGACGGAGATCACTAGTTGATATATTTTGCTGTAGTTCGCGCTTTATGGATATTTTATCGGTTCTTTTTAGAATCAATCTGCTTCGATATTTTCGTTAATATTTTTGTGTATATAATATATTGTGTATAAATAAGTTATTATATTTATATATAATATAAATTATAAATTACAAATATAGTTATATTTAATTAAATATATAATATATATATATTAATATTTTGCCGAGGTAACGACGTCTTCATTTAGAAGCGCGAAGTTAATAAAGAAATAGTGATATTCAGAAACTTATTTTTGATGTTAATAAATGTACAGGGAATTCCTTTTTAACTTCTTTTCAGTAAAAAGGTCACTTAAGCAGGTACGTGGCTTACGAGTTAGTGCATTGTAAGTACACTTACACCGGCTTTGACCAATCATGGCCATGGATATTACTGTAGCACTGGTAAGAACTTAATAATATATAAAGGTTCCTCAGCTATTGCAGAGATCAGTTGTTCTGCTTATCTCTTGTTAAAACCAGTGACCAGCGAAGATGCCGACGAAATTACTGTTTTTGGGCGATAGTAATTTTTGCCGAATGCTACGTACTGTACAAAGTAAGTATTTGTTTTAACAGATATGAAGTTAATTCCTACTAATGGTATATATTTTTAGGACGACAATCAAAACGGACAAGCAACGGAAAATATTTCCTCGACTTAGCAGTAGTACTAAAACTTTTGCGGCGCGCAAAGTGTATTTCAAAAACATGTTCCCCTTGGTTTTGTGGAGATATTGTTGAACGACATATCGTTATAATGATAGGAACTAACGATATTCTCCACAAAACATCACCATCCCAACTGAAGTCCCAATATTCTCACCTCTTTCGCTTCCTTCTTTCCTTAAATCCTAAAGGAATACAAATTTGCACAATTCCTCCCCGCAAAAACTTCGAGTCTGTGAACGTAAGATATTATAATTTCTATGTCATGCTATAAATAAATACTCTCTATGCCTTTATAGGAAATCAATCATTACATTCGACGGTTTTGTGCTGAAAAGCAAATCAATTGTACCGACATTGAAGCAATTGTTAACAGAAACATGATGGAAGGGTAACACAACGTGAAAATTTTCCTTTTCTTATGTATTTAATACAAATTTCTACACAGGGATGGCATTCACTTAAATGAACAAGGATTGGAAGCGGTCTGAAACGCGGTAGCAAGTAATTATAATAATATTCTTAATCCATTACACAATTTAATTATAAGTAAAACAGACCATTAATATAATAAATTTCATTCTCTATCAAAAGTTTTTTTTTCTATCAAAAATCCACCCTCCAAATCATCCTAAAATTTCATCAATTTTGGAGGTGCCCAACGGGGTCAAATTCACCCCAAAGTCCGCGCCGCGCTGTATACCTATAGTGTCTAATAACAAATTTTTTTTCTCGGAAACCGTTAGACCTTACGGTGTTTGGATGGTCGATTTAAATCGCTAAAGGCATTCTCTAAATCATCCTAAAATTTCATCAGTTTTGGAGGTGCCCAACGGGGTCAAATTCACCCCCTAAGTTCGCGCCGCGCTGTGTACCTATAGTGTCTAATAATAAATTTTTTTTCTCGGAAACCGTTATACCTTACGGTGTTTGGATGGTTGATTTCAATTGCTAAGGGCGTCCTCTAAATCATCCTAAAATTCCATCAATTTTGGAGGTGCCCAACGGGGTCAAATTCACCCCCAAAGTCCGCGCCGCGTCGTGTACCTATAGTGTCTAATAAAACAAATTTTTTTTCTCGGAAACCGTTATACCTTACGGTGTTTGGATAGTTGATTTAAATTACTAAAGGCATCCTCTAAACCATCCTAAAATTTCATAAATTTCAGAAGTGCCCATCGGGATCAAATTCACCCCTAAAGTCCCATCCGCGGTTTACAATACTGATTTTTTTTCTCGAAAACCGTTAGGGCTTACGGTGTTTTGAAAATTGATAAAAATACTTAGAAGTGTGTTCTATTATGTGGTAGAATTTCGTTTAATTCGAAGGTGCCCATCAGGGCGAAAACATCCCTTTTTCTAGGGTGAGGGTTGAAAAATTTTTTTTTACCAAAATGGGGGTGGTTAGCTATTCTTGAGGGTAATAGTGACCTGTATGTGAAATTTGGTTATCCAAATCGTATTGGTTACGGAATTATTAATGTTTTAAGTTTATTGCTGGGATTTATGGATAACTTCACACCAGTTAATGACGCATAGTTTGTTTATGCAAAACATAATAGTGAATATTTGATTTGAAGTTTATTTGAGTGCTATCTATAATTTTAACTGTTATTTAATATGGCTAGTTCAGCAAAAAAACAAAAAGTGCAAGATAGAAAGAGTATCAGAGAATTGCAAACTTGGTGGACAGAGAAATATGGCATGATCAGTAAAGGTGACAGAAAAGTGTATTTCTGGAACATCGTCTGTGAAACGGCATTTTGAAACAAATCACAAATCCGTTAGTCAAAAAAGCGAACCAGAGCAAAAAGTATTAATTGCAAGTGCATTGAAAGACAGAAATAAACAGTCAACATCTATGACTAAATATGTTCGTAAAAATTGTCATACGAGTACGGCAAGTCACGCGGCTACAAATGTCATTGCTCGCATAGTAAACCTTTTCAAGAGGGAGAGTTTTTGAAGGAAGTCTGGTTAGCATGCGGCCCTCTCTTTTTGATGATTTCGATAATAAAGATAAGATAATTCAGCGCATCAAAGATACTTCTCTGTCCAGAAACACAATAAAAGAAAGAATCTTAAAACTCTCCGAAAATGTAACAGATCAACAAAAAATTGACATTAGCTCTGCTTCTTTTATATCGCTATGTCTTGACGAAAGCACTGACGTCGTTAAATCTGCTCAATATTATTTGCTGTTAATTGCGATCAAATCGTTGCTAACAACTGCAAGAGGCACTGATAGTTGTACGGCTGTTAAAAATTCGCTTGCTGAAAAAGAAATTAATTTAAAAAAAAAGATTACCGTAACAACTGATGGTGCTCCAAGTATGGTGGGTAAAAAAAAAATGGTTTCATAACTTTATTTCAAACAGACGTAGGGCATTCGATTCTTCAATTCCACTGCATCATTCACCAACAAGCCTTGTGTGCTAAGAGTGGTTTAACATCTCTTGAAAATGTAAAGGCGGTTGTCACAAAAATAATCAACCTCATTTCGTCGCAGGCTTTAAACAAGTTCGATGCTTTGTTAGATGAAGTCAACTCGGTGTACAATGGCTTACTGATGTACAATAATGTTCGCTGGTTGAGTCGCGGGAACGTACTTTAAAGATTTGTTGATTACTTGGAAGAAATCAGACTGTTTCTGCAAAATGAGGGAAAAGTTGAAGAACACCCACAGTTGTTGGATGTTATGTGCCTTTCAAAATTGATATTTTTTACAGACATATGCCAACATTTAAATGAGTTAAACATGAAGCTTCAAGGCATAAATAAAACAATTATCGTCATGGTAGATCTCATTCGCGCTTTTGAGCCTAAACTGCAAGTTTTCAGGAACGATATTATCACAAGAAACCACAAGTATTTTTCAAATTTGAAAAAATATATCAACAATTTGGAAATACATGAGAAACCAGACGAAGACCAAGTTACTGAAAAATTTATTTCTGTGATTGATTCTTCAATCAGGGAATTTTCAGCGAGATTTTCTCATTTCAAAGAATTATCGGAAATACTCAAGCTTATTATGTACCCTGATGTGACGTCATTGGATAAACTGAATTTGTCCCAATTGGATTGGTTGGAAATTGAAGAATTTTAAATGCAGCTGATTGATTTCCAGTCTAGTTCAATATGAATTCAAAAATTTATTGATACCAGGAAAGAGTTAGAATTAATTGAAACAGAACGATTGACAAGTAATATAAGTGAAAATGCTAATAACTAAATTCTGGAAACATGGAATGCGTTACCAGACACATTTAAATGTTTGAAGAAGTTGGTTCATGCTATTTTAACAATATTTTCATCAATCTATGCCTGCTAGTCATTATTTTCAGAGATAAATAACATTAAAGACTCGGTTAGAAACCATTTGACAGATGACTCTAACATATGTTATTTGTCATCTAATTTGCAACAACAGAAGTCACACTAATTTTACTTTAATTTAAATTACGCGTATAATTGAAACATTGCAAAATGTTCCTATTCTTTTGTAGTAAATAACGAGTTTTGAGTTGATAGTATTTATTACTATTATATTCCTAATAATCACAAAGTCAAAGTTTTTTATGGCATGTCTATGACCACATTAAACATTTCTTTAGAAAAATGGCACGTTGATACGTAAAGGTTCGCCATCCCCGTTCTAGGTTTAATGTGGATAATTAAACGTTATCGTTGAATGTGTTAACGTAATTGGGATTTAATTTGAATGCAATGAAACGTAACCTAAATTTGGCATTAAACAATTTTGTGTTTTTGTGGATACTCATCTATGTTTTCATGGTTGCATGTTTTCAGACTCATCATTGGCGCCAGTGATTTCAGAAGGGTTCATACTTTTCCAATCCATGCATGCATGATTTCAACTTGCACGCCAGTTGATGTTTACACATGTAATTTAATTTTACTGGCGCGCCAGTTTTGATTAGCGCCACTAAATTCATGCATGTCTAAACTCACTATAAGGTAATTGCTTTTAGCTCTTAAGTTCGGAAGTGTAATAACAATAACAACGGCAAAAATTTTAAAAAAAAGAAAAATACAATCAGAAAATAACCAATAATAATAATAATAATCAACAAATATAACAATTGTCAATTAATGTAAACTTGATTTTTGTAATAATAAATAAAATGACCAAAAAAAAAAAAATGTAAAAATTGGACTTTTTTCTAAATTGAAAATTTTTCAAATTCAATTTATGACATGTACTATTATCAGGAGTATACAAAGTTGAATTGTCATAACATTTAAAGTGGGTTAGGAATGATGTTTCGTCCAAATCTTTGTAGTTATTTGCAAATGTTGTGCATATTTCACAGCTATGAACATTCAATGTTTTGTTCATTAAATATCCACCTATGTATCGGATCACATTTTCCTCTACTTTTTGGTATTGCTATTCACAGTCTGATGAATTTAAAGGTAATATACAACTGTCATCCTGTTTAAAGATTTGTGGAGTTTGTACCATTGTATCCTTGAATTCCTCAAAATGTAAAAGTATATTTTCAAAATCATCACTGCAATTTTCCATGCCAGAATTCAAAAAATTTAATGTTAATAATTTTCTGAACGCACGAGTAAACTGGATAGGTGTTGGGTTAATGCAGCAACCACTTTGCCGTCGCACTGTGCCGAAAAAATTCTCTAATGAATGCTGATTTAATCTTCGACAGAACAAATACGAAAAACCTTCAGATTTTAAACCTTCCCATAACAATTGTAACACGCAAATATAAATTTTGAAACATTTAAATACTTTAATTTTATGCGTTATAACTTTGTTCGCTTTACTCATAACTTTCACTCTTTGTAAATAATCCCAACATTCTTTTAATATGTCTACATAATGTTTCTCCCCCTTATAAGCTGTTTTATTGATGTTTGCCGAGTATAAAGTGTTACTATTAACTATGTCAAAGACGTTATTAAACATTTCTAATACACGTTGTGTATGTGTTGCTTGTGCTGTTATGTGTCCTAAGCTAACTAAAACCCCAATTGCATTAGCCACTGAAGCGCTTAAGATTTGTGTGGCATAAGACACCTTCATTTTATATCGATTTATTGGATTTATATGAATATCGGAAAGACGGGGTGCTAGACGACTTTGCAACCCTTTATCGATACTATACATTTCTTCAATGTATTTCCACGAGGCTACTAAATTTTCAAAATGAAAATTATTTGCGTACAAATTGTTTCGTAGTGCTTTTATCATATGGGGTGGGTCATACATAAATTAGATTTTTTTGCTTTCTATTTCAAAAAATGGCTTCCTTTCTGTTATATTTAAGAGACCTGCTAATTAAATATTGCTAGGCCCCATATCGCTTAAAAGCACCATCACATTCAAACCTATTGCAGTCAGTGTCTCTATGGTGGCCTCTAAGATGCCTTTCAAATAACTGGAAGAGCAAATGCTATTAACAAAAAAATATGCTAGAGGTTGCTTCCAATTGTTAGCTAAGCCTTTAACCATAATTGTGAGCACATTTAGGGCAGGAAGAAAGGATTTCCTGCTTCCTATATTCTCAAACCCCACAACCTCATCTGCACTTACGCTGTAAAATAGGTGACTTTTTATTGACATTTCATCGAAGCATATGATACAATTTTTATCAATACTACGCATTCTAACAACTTTCAGCTTTAAAGTTTGAAATACCAGATCCTTTAGCCCAGGATTTAGCACAATCCTATGAGTCATTCGTGACAGAGTTCTCTTTGAGGGGAACTTAAAGCAAGATTTCAAAAAAGAATATGCTTTAGGACTTAAAAAATAAATTTTCAAACAAAAATATTTGAAATGTACTGAATATCTAACACCCTTGCTTTTGGTATTTAACTTATACTGCTGGTAAATAAATGCCGCAATTGCAAGTGGAAAGCGTTCATATGTACAGCAACCTTTCCCAATCGTGATTAGAGAGGTCAGCGATAGAAGTTGACTTTTTTTCCCGTTCTTCCCGCAATTGTAGCTTCAAACAGTTAACTTGTCGCTGCAAAGTTTTTATCTTGTCCCATAACTTCTTCTTACGGGGCTGTGAGCTGATAAGGTGATTGGCGTCTGGTTTCCTACCGAATGAGAAGCTTAAAAATAAATAAATAACATACTGGTTACAGAAAATAAGCTGACCTGTTTCTATTTTGTGCAAATCTATTATAATTTTAATAATGTTTGCACAAAAAACAGAAATATGCAAAGAAACTTACGAGGTACTTGATCATCTTTATAAGTTGGTTGCATAACAACTTCTTCAGATGATAAGTTCTCATCATTAGGGGTGGACTGTAAGGGATGTCCTACAAAGTAAATACAAAATATTAAGTACAAATGCTTAATTTCTGGCGTTGATGTTAAGCATAGTATAATTGTTATACATGAATAGATGCATTAAACTTACGAGTAATTTGATCCTCCTTGTTCAACATTAACGTTGGTACTGCATCGTCACATAGTCTTTTCCTACTTTCTCCACGATAAGCAGAGTCCTGAAAATGACGACTGCACACTTTATACGAACTATTACTCATGAGGAATCCAAATTGTAACTTATTCATGACTAAAGGTAACAAGCCACATACTTCACCTTATTGCTTTGCCCTACAGAAATACAGAAACAAAGAAGCAAAGAACATAATACAGGTGATTCAAAACTAGATGGCTAAAATGAAACCCCATGTAGAACAATCAAAAAGTAGCTAATATGCTGTAAGCTGTTCTATAGGGGATTTAATTCCTGCCTTATATTTTTGCTTGCATTGAGGCAAACAAAAACATACATACCTTTCCTTATCCTTCGGATACCGAAATAAATGTGTGTCCTTTGTCAACGGAAACGTATGACAACAATTTCTCACATAACACTCACTCATTTTAAATTCACTAACGTTTATTACAATAGCAAAAACCATACAATAAACTGGTTGACGAACAACGCTCGACAACGTTTAAAAGTGACATAAGCTAGCCAGCGGAGATAAAGCGAACTCAGCCTAAACCTAGCGCGTGCGAATCAAATTTGAGTTCGCAATTTTCTGTCTTTGTCCTTACTTGTTATACCTATACGCTGTGTTAACCGTGAAAGAGAGAATTTATTTAGTACTGTGCTATGGTACTAGTGAATCATGTTTTCGTGTAGTTATACAAAAATTCCAGCAACAATATCCGGACACAAAAATATCTCATGTTGGGGCTCGCAAACTGATGAAAAAATTTTTGGAAACGGGTTCTGTATTATCCATAAAGAGGCAAGCAAAGAGACTAAACGAGGAAGACGCTGCTTTTCAGATAGCTTTTCAACAAATGACATTGTTTCTTCCCAGCATTGTCGTTATTGGAGCGATGTAAATCCAATTACCCTTAAATTTTATACGGTCAATGTACTTTCAGCAAGACAGTTGCCCAGCTTACCATTCACACATTGTGCCAAATGGTTAAATTTACAATTTCGTCAAAAATGGATTGAACGAAATGGTCCTATTTGATGGCTAGCACGTAGTCCTGATCTTACAATTATGGATTTTTATTTTTGGGGACGATTGAAACAAATTGTTTACAGTGAACCATTACAAGATGATGCAGAACTATTAAAACTAAGAATAATTAAAGCGATAGAATCTCTACCACTGGCGGAAATTTGTACTTCTTATAAAGAATTTAGAACTCGTCTTCAAATGTGTGCCGAATTGCAAGGGAATTGGTTTGAATGAGGATTTGTTCACTTACAAATAAATAATATTTATTACTTACATAGTATGTTATTACATAAATTTACATTTAAAATATTTTATTCAATTAGCCATATTTTAATTTGATTTGTCCGTATATTTTTCACTAATATAAGTTGTAAATTTTATTTTATTTTATTGGTTTCTATGGTTACGTATCGTAAATTGAACTTGAAAAATTTGTATTTAGGAAAAGTATAATTTTTACATAAAAATGGGAATAATTAGTTAACTTCTATAGTTAGAATATAAAGTTCGTGCAATTTAGTGGTTTGAACATATCCGACGCTTTATTTATGCTGAGATAAGTTTGAAAAATCACAAAAATTTTTTTCCTCTTTGTAACTCGATCCGGGGACATACTGTATAAAGCTATTTTATGACTAAGGGTGTGTTTACGTTGGAGCTGCGATAAACGATAATAGCGACGATACTACCAAAACAACGAAATTGTTGTCATAGTTTTATATACAGGTGTTTATATTGGAACGAGAGCTGCNAAACCGTTTGTCTTCAACTCTACGTAGCCGTTTTTTATTTGATCAAACAGATCTATACTTATTTCTTTTTTTTTGTATAGCGAAATTTGCAAAATTTTGCACAATACTTAATTTGTCAATAATTTCTTTATTTTTGTAATTTTTAGAATTTCCCTACGTACAGTTATAGGTAATTATACTTGCCATTAAATCTTTCTTGGCTTTTCGGTTTTACATGAATCAGTCGACCAATTTGCTGTCAACCAAGGACGCCAATATTTTTTTTTGAAGACCGGCATTTTGAGGTGTTGTACATTGTATATCGTAGATTATAAGTGTTTTCTTTTTATTTTTGCACTCTTCGACAATCATTCTTCATATGTAATATAACAGATATCTGTTATATCAAGTTGTTTTTCCTTAAAAAAAACCATAAGAAACTATATTTTTTAGTCCATAACAGTGTTCTACCCCCTTTAATAATTTGCTTCTTCATACGGACGTACGCTGGCTGTCTAAGGGAAACTGTTTGCATCGTTTCATAGAGATTTCTAATACCGTCGTGGAGTTTTTGTCATTACTCCAAGTTAATAAATTCATTTTCTATTTGGCTACTATTTATTCAACGCCACACAAAATAAACTGTAAGGAAGAGACGTTAACCTTATTGAAGCCAGAACGGTGATCTTTGGGTTTCATTCTAATTGTAAGATTGACTTGTTTATATTGACATTAAACTGGAAAGAATTTGGATACTTTGACAATCAGAAGCTATTGCCCACCATTGAGAAATATTGCATTTTAGCGGAAGATATAACAGTCTATAAAACCATTTACAACATTTAAAAGATGATTTAATGTTCTATTTAGGGATATTGAAAATTTTAATGTATTGACATATCTCGACTTGATATTGATAATACAATTCAAGAAGAGTTGCTTACATTGAAGGAGGATATGGAAGCACAAATATTATTCAAAATGTATGTTAAAGGTCATCCGAGAAAAGTATCGACGCTTACAGGTCCTGACAGAGCAACTACAGGTATCTAACCCCCGTATAACACGGTATCCTTATAAAACGCTTTCACTCTAACACGATTCGAGAATTAGGAAGAATTTTCATTTCGTATTTTTACTTCAACTATAGGGAAATCCACTATTATTTCGTGATGTGATATTTCTCATTCGAGCGTGTCAGTCGTGTTAGCTTTGTGCATCTAGAAGTTTGATAATTTTATTTTTATTTAGTACATATATGTAATAGAAAGTAAAATTGCGTATTTATTGTTATTGAAACTTTGAAAAATGTTAAATATTATTTTTTCTAGCTTCGAACAATGTTTGCTATAAAGAAAAAAACACCTCTTAAAAGACATTTCATTTCATTAGAACAAAAAATTCAGATTTTGGATTGCCTTAAAAAGGGGGAGAAGATATCATACGTTGCTAAAACCCTAAATTTGAATGAAGTTACAATACGTACTATACAGAAAAATGAACAAAAAATTAGATCTTCCGTTACTGCAGGTTGTTCCGTCTCCGCAAATATGACAGCTCGTCGTAGAGCACCAATTCTTGAACAAATGGAAAAAGCTCTTAGTGTTTGGATTGACGATTGCTCAAATAAACGAATGCCACTAAACACAAATATTATTAAAAATAAAGACTTAAAAATCTACAACTTTTTAATAGAAAGTGGAGAATCTGCTACTGATCCCGATTTTGTTGCCAGTAAAGGTTGGTTCGACCGTTCCAAAAAACGTTTTTCATTGCAAAACCTGAAAATACAAGGAGAGAGCACATCTGCTGATAGTGAAGCTGCTAAAAGTATCCGAAAGAGTTGGAAAAAATTATTCAACAGGGTGGATATACACCACATCAGGTTTTTAACGCAGATGAAACCGGCATTTGGTGGAAAAAAAATGCCCAAAAGAACGTTTATTTCAAAAAAAGAAAAAACTGCACCGGGTGTTAAGGTAGCAAAAGATAGACTAACACTACTTATGTGCAGTAACGCCTCAGGTGATCACGTGGTTAAGCCCATGCTAGTTTATAAATCCCTCAATCAAAAACTTAATAAAAACGCTTTACCAGTATATTGGGCTGCAAATAAGAAAGCTTGGGTTACCATTGACTTATTTAAGAAATGGTTCTTAAACTGTCTTCTTCCAAGCGCGGAGAAGTACTTAAAGAAAAAAAAATAGATTTTAAAATTCTACTAATATTGGATAATGCACCAAGTCACTCGAAAAATTTTAGTCACCCAAATGTTGAAGTAATATTTCTACAGCCGAATACAACTTCATTACTTCAACCACTAGATCAAGGTATTATATCTACGTTTAAATCTTATTACATAAGAACATCTTTGCAATGGATTTTGAATAAAGTTGAAGATGATTCTATCGATGTCATGCAGGCTTGGAAACGCTTTACAATTTTGGACTGTATTAATCACATATCTTCATCCATTAAGAAATTAAAACCATCAACATTGAATAGTAGTTGTTGGAAAAATCTATGGCCAGAGGCAGTTGAAAAGGATAACTTAATTGATCCAGGTCATAACGAAGTATTAGATGCAGTTGTAGAAGTTGCTAAGTCTGTAGGAGGGGAAGGTTTTGACGACATGAATGTCGAAGATATTCAAGAATTACTGGTACAAGAAGAAATTGATATGGTAAGTTTGCTGGAAATGGCATCAGAAACAAACACAACTGATTTTGCTGATGATGACGATGAAAACAATACAGTGCAAGATGTTACTGTTATTGTAAAAGATTTTACTGTAAAAGGTATAAAAAAAGGCCTAGATATTGCTGAACAATTGGAAAGATATTTTGTCAGTGTGGATCCTTCCCTAGTATCCCTTGTAAACCAGGGCGGGTAACCTTTCACATACCGGGACTTTTGTGGAAAATGTTTTTTTATTGCCAGAAACAAACATTTATAAAAAATCGTTATTAGAGTGCACAAAACCCTCGGGAACTCCATGAAAAGCCTCTGCATAGTGAACGTGTTGTGAGTGATTAGCAGTGTCAGGATCATAGGCCCGTACTTTTTTGAAGAAGGAGGAGTGACAGTGACCGTTAACTCGGATCGATACATTCAAATGCTTCAAACTTTTATGGCACCAAGACTCAATGCTCTTCAGATTCAACAGAATGTGTGGCTTCAGGAGGACGGGGTCACTGCTCACATAAGCAGGAGATCTTTTCAAGAACTGAGGTATCTGTTCCCAGAACGCTTGATGTCTTTGCGCGGATACACTGGCTAGTACGATCTCCAGACCTTACCCCCTATGATTTTTTTCTATGGGGGGTTTCTTAAGGCTGGGGGGGTTTATAAACATCGTCCGAGGACTCTGCCCGTCCTACGACAAACGATTCAAGAAGAGATTACTCGTATTCCTCAAGAAATGTTGATTAGAGTAATGGCGAACTTCCGAACTTGCATTCGGCAATGCATTAATAACGAAGGAAAACACTTGACCAATATACTGTTCAAAAACAGAAATCTGTAAAACATAATACTTCCCATTCTGCAGATTCCATTCATGTTAACAGTTTCGTTAATTTATACCATCTATTTTTTATTCAACCGTCAAATTAGGGAGGGAGTTTTGCCACACCCTGTATATTTGTTTATTTAAACTAAGGTTTACAACAATTTAAGTATAATATTAATAATAATTATGCTTTTGCTATGGCATAAGAGATGGCGCCACTTAACGAAAACTTCACAACCCAAATTTCATAAATTAATTTTGATTAATTTATTTTTGATATTTTGTACTTTAAGTCCTAATTTGTCGATGAAACATTTTTAGAAATTACATTTTTTTAAATTAAATTTAATTAATCATAAATTATTTTTAAAATTGACATGAAATTAGTCACAAATAAAGTTAGTTGTAACGAGTTCAGTTTCAATACGAAAAGTTACAGTAACTTTACCTGTACATTAACAAAGATTTAACGAATCTCTTATATTAATAGTATCGTAATGGATTATATTAATCCAGAATTATTGGAAATACAGTACAAATTCGAAGACTACAAGATGTTGGCAGAGAAAATGATGAAAGAAGGCGTTGAAATGTACAAAGATGAATTAGTTGCGTTAAAATTTAAATGTAGGCAGCTAAATGAGGAGATAGAAACTATTTTGGAGAAGAGCCGCCTGCTGGTTTTGATTGTTATTTAGGGATAAGACTAATTATTGTATGCAAGATGTAAATTTATTAAGAATTAAGTATAAATTAGTGTTAATAAATCATGAATAATAAATAGTCACATGTAACCAATCTAACATTCTTCTTTTACTTCGCAAAGTGTTTCAAAAGTTATTAAAAGATACATTTTTATAAATTTAAGTATTGAATTGGTAATATGAGTAAGAGGTTATAATAGTTAGCGCCATCTATATGACAATGATTTAAATATCTAGAAACTGTTTTGAAAAAATAAATAAATTTAACTACAAATATCGTTATAATCAGCATTGTTAATCTATAAATATGTATTATATTGCTTGATAGTTTAATTTTTCTTATTTATTACTGTTTAGACGATGGTCATGTCATGATACAGAAATCTAACCTCAAATTTCATGAACTTAGTGGGAATCCCTGCTTCATTTGAGGATTATTTTTTTGTAGGTAAAATTGGTGCTTGTTGTTGTTAAATAGTTACTTAATTTAGAACAGGGTTATTGTTTATACATTATTTTGTACACATGTGGGATTGAGAGAGAGGACAATTCAGAGGGAGAACAGTAGAGAGAGGCTGGGGCAGTATGGGGAGTATGATGAAGAGCGGGTACGAGTAAAGACGTAAAGAGTAATTGAACTATTTTCTGATAAAATAAATGATTAATACAGTTGTAAATGAAAGAGTGTAAAATATGTTTAAAGACTAAATCTTTAATAGTTTGTCACTTTACATTAATAAATACTTTACTTTGTTACTGTTAAAACATGTGTTTTAATTTGACAATCTAATCCTACACACATGTATTCATCAAAGACTTGAAGAATTGAATGGAGTTCGTATCAGATGTTCAACGAGTAAGCACGTGTAACTCTGCTCCGCGAGTTTAATTTAATAATTTTTCATAGTGAGTCTTAATTCATCGCAATGCCGAATTCGGAAAAAACAAGGTTTGCATCCGAGCGACGAGAACTAATTAAATCGTGCATAGTAGACATAATAAAAGATAATGAGTTTTTAAAAGTCTTATGTGAAACCATTGCTGGAGAGGTTGACCGTGTTTTTGCGGATAAAATCCAGTCTCTTGAAGAGAGTGTGTGAATTGGAAGACAAGAACGTTGACTTGGCGGACAAGTACGATGCGTTAAGCCGGATTTATATTTGTCTGACGTGTTGTGTCGTGATGCGCTCTGACGTAATGCTTAGTGTTTACATTTATATGTTGTGTTCTGACGCACTCAGCATTGCGCTATGTTCCCTTATCCTGGAGAGAAGTAAAGGTAGTCTTCATTCCTAAACCTGGAAGGACAGATTACACTGACCCAAAATCATATAGACCAATCAGTCTTTACTCATTCGTCGGGTAGGCGCTTGAAAGGCTATGTGAAAGATATATAAGAGAAACGACACTGGAAAGGTTTCCTGGAAAAAGAAGGCTGGGTACCCTTAGAGCGCCCTGGCTTTGCAAAGTGCCCTTGCGCTTTGCCAATGAAGTGAAGTATCTGGGGTTAACCCTGGATAAAACGCTGACTTGGAGACCGCATATCAAAGGTAAGATAAATAAGGCACGCATTGCGTTCGCTCAGTGCAGAAGGGCCGTTGGGACTTCCTGGGGTTTAACGCCCAAAATATCCCTGTGGATATACACTGCAGTGATACGTCCAATGATGACTTACGGCGCCGTAAACTGGTGGCCAAGAGTTAGAAATAAAACGATTGTTTTGCAACTACAAAAATTGCAACGTCTGGCTTGTCTTTACGTTACAGGCTCGATGATAACCACAGCAATAGCAGCAATGGAGAATGTACTGTGCCTTCCTCCTCTCAATTATCACGTTGAGGAGATGGTGATAGCAACAATGATCCGGCTTCGAGCGGCTAATGACAAATGGGAAATGTGGAAAATCGACTAGCCAGCTATGGGGGGACGCATGTAACAAACAGCCGCTCCTGAATGGCAGGGTAGATACGATTCCAACGCGTTTTATCTTAGAACGACCGTATGAAATAAAGGTAGGAGAACAATCCAGGCCTGACGAAACTGTCTTCCAAGTATGGGTGGACGGATCTCGTAGGGAAACTGGTTCTGCTTCGGTTTATTCCGTCGAACCAACAATAAAAATTTCTAAACCGCTGGGAATTTGGCCCACCGCGCTCCAAGCGGAGCTGGTGGCCATTTCTCTGGCGGCTGAGGAAATTTCCAAAAAAATTAGTAATAAAAAAATTATAATATATTCTGATTGCAGAATCACTAACTGAACATGGTAATAAGTGACACCTACATCTGCAGAGAATACGGTGAGGAGGAGGAATCAACGGAACACATTTTATGCGACTGCGTGGCCCTCGAAACATTAAGGTTATCTATTTTTGGAGATATCCAGATTAGCATGAGTGGAATCAGGGCAGCACAACCAGGACAAATTCTAGCTTTTGCCTCCAAGGTAATATGGCTGGAAGGGCCCTAATGCTGACCAAATGAGGGAAGTAAGTACAAGGGATCTGCTGAGGTCAATGTGCTGCGGGCGGTTCAGCCTACCTTCCCGCGAATCCAGAATCTGACGCACTCTGGCGATATTTTGAATCAATACAATCGTAGCACTCAAAGAGTTCATACGTGAGTCTATAATGTTTTCCAATGAATCTTCTGATTCAAATTATGAAGAAAATATTCATTTTATGGTACTGGCAACTCTTCTAAGAAAAGGAAAAAGAGATAAGATATTGGGTTCATCCAGTGAACAGAAAGAGAGAGGCTAAAGGCGAATTTCACGGCCTGGTTAAAGAGCTTGAGAGCGATGCTGATAATGTAAAATGTAATTAATTTTAATATCGAAAGAAAGAAGAAACGTAAATCTGACGAGTCATAAGGCAGGTGTACATTTGTCTGATCTGTCGTTATGCGTCACTTCCCACTCCGATGCTCTGACGGACATCGGGATCGCTGCTGATGCGACACAACACAAGGCACCACAACACATTGCGACACACAAAAAATATAAATCTCACCATAATAAATGTATTCAACCGATACCGTTCTGACGCGTCACAACACGACACGTCGGATAAATATAAATCCGGCTTTAGAGCAGGGGTTCCCAACGAGGTCAGTACCGACCCCCTGGGGGTCGATGAAGGTGTAAAGGGGGTCGATCGGGGGTCGATAGCTAAATATGTACTAACTATATTAGTGCTCGTCTTTTTGTCAAACTGTGTAATAACACTAATGAAAATTTTAAGGGGGTAGAACAGTATAGCGGTCTAAAAAATAGATTTTTTTTATTTATTTTAATAGGTACACATCTCAAGATTGTCTGTTTAAATTTTTAGCAAGAAGTTCGAAAAAATAACAAAGATACAGGGTATTGTATCCTATCGCTACATTATAAAAATAATCTTAAACATACCGTAACAGTCATAGGATACTACTTTAAGAAAATGCATGATATTTGCGTCAAGTCAAGATACTGTAAGGCATATGCTTTGTGGAAAAATAAACCACATATATCAGAGTATCAAATATTGCTGGAAGACCATAAGAAGGAATGTGACATTAATCACANTAATTCCAACAAGTTTAGAGGGAAAACACAGCAAACATCAACAACATGGACAACCAGAACCGATAGCATATCAACAACAAAACCAATAATTCGATGTTACAATTGTAGTCAAGTTGGTCACAAATCCAATGACTGTCCAAAGAAATAAAGAGGAACGAAATGCTTTAAATGCAACAAATATGGGCATAAAGCGAGAGAATGTAGTAAGGAAAAGAGATTCGAAGCAAATTATACCGAAAATGAAACGGGAAAGAATTATAAAGAAGTGATATTAGAAGAAAGGCCGATAACTGCCTTGATTGATACTTTAAGCGCAGTCAACCTTATTTGCATCAACGATTACTTACGATTGAACATATCACGATTTGAAGAAAAGTTTATAACACTTACTGGAATTGGAAAGAACAACATTAAGACTTTGGGTCAGTTTGTGTGTAATATTATTATAGATGGCGATGTATATCACACTACAATACACATTGTACCTGAAAACGTTATGAGTTGCAAGTTACTTTTGGGTGATGATTTACTCTCACAGGCAGAAGTATTGATTAACCATTCTGGAATCCATTTCACGAAGATACGATGACGACGATGATGACGACACGATTGACAATTTAACTGAGATAAAAGATACCAAGTTAAGGGAAGAGGTTAGAGAATTGATCAACAACTATCGACCAGAAGAACGTGTTGCAACTACAATGCAAACAAAAATTGTTTTAAAGGAAGACATTCTGATTTCCCATAGACCTCGACGTTTATCGCAGGCAGAAATGGATGAAGTGAATGTACAAATTCATGATGGATGGATGATCCAGCCATTATAGATTCATGGATGGATGAAGGAATCATCAAACACAGCTGTTCTGAATATTCAAGTCCGATTGTTTTAGTCAAAAAGAAAAATGGAGATACACGCATATGTGTAGATTATCGAAAAATTAATAAGATTATCGTGAAAGATAGATATCCACTGCCTGTTATTGAAGATCAACTAGATCGATGGTAAAAATCAAAGATATTCAGTACGCTAGATCTGAAGAATGGTTTTTTCCATGTCCCCGTTGAAGAAAGAAGTAGAAAATTTACATCCTTTGTAACACCTGCTGGTCAATATCAATTTCTTCGAACAACATTTGGGCTTTGCAATTCACCGGCCATATTCCAAAGGTTTATTAACAATACCTTCAAAGATTTGATAAGGGATGGAATGATTCTGACATACATGGATGACATTATCATTTTAGCTGAAAACGAGATGCAGGCTCCGGAAAGATTAAAAAATGTATTAAAGGTTGTTGAAGATCACGGATTAGAGATTAATTGGAAAAAATGCCAATTCTTGAAGTCAGAAATAGAGTATTTGGATTATGAAATAATTAATGGAAGTATTCGACCATCTCCGAGAAAAATAGAAGCTGTAACCAAA